TTATCTTTACCAAATTCTGTTTTCCAATATTTTCTGGATTCCATTTTAATGGTTCCATAAAATTTTAATAATGAAAAGCATCTCCAATTAATTGATTTTATAAAAAAAAAAAAGAAAAAAAAAAGTATATATATATTTTTTTTTTTAAGAAATACTGCACATTTACATTTTTCTCCTAAATAAATTCTGGTAAATACTCCTTTAAAAAGTATTTTTTGATTATAATTTTATTATTAGTAGACTAGAACATGTGGATATGTTGTCATTCTTACACTATAATACTGAACTTTGATTTCAGTGATTTGGACTATGAGATGGACACTTGCTTCTTGCACTTTATGTTGCACTTTACTTTTTTACTTTTGGATTTAATTTGGTTTAATGAAATATAGTTTAATAAAATATTCTTAAGTAAAATGGTAGACTTTTTGTGTGGGAAATTAATCGTTTAGATTAATCCATAAATTAGTCGATAGATTAATCGAGAGAGAGAAAAAAAAAAAAAAAAAGTCGTTAGTGGCAGCCCTAACCACAACAAAATAAATTATATTGTGAGCTTGCAGTAATGCCTGTCTACTGCAAAACAATGTCATGACAATATGTTTTTTATAGAGCTTTGTCTTTAGTGCCTTCACTTAAGCGTGAGAAAACTTGACTAGCATAGTCCAAATCACAAACAAGTAACTCATACGAGCCAGGTCTTTTAATTAATCATTCAAACAAACTTACAAGCTCACAAGTTATAATCAGTCTGATGAATCTATACTACCGGTCAGAAATTGGGGGTCAAATTTTTAGTCATCAAGGATGCATTAAATAGATCAAATGTCACAGAAATGTTTTGTAACATTATAAATGCCTTTCTTGTACTCTTTCAAATAAATGTTGTTCAATTGAACTTCTCATTCATCAACAAATCCTGAAAAATGCATCATGGCTTCTACAAAAATATTAAGCAGCACAACTGTTTTCAACATTGATAAGAAATGCTTCTTGTGCACCAAATTGGCATATTAGAATGATTTCTGAAGGATCAAGTGACACTGAAGACTGGATTAATGGCCACTAAAAATTCAGCTTCACCATTACAGGAATAAATTATATTATAATACACATTAAAACAGAACAATAATAAAAATTGTTACATTATAAATTGAATTGGTAGCATTAAAATATTATTGTTTATATTATAAAACACATGAAAACAGAAAATTTTCATAAAAATTGTTACATTATAAAATGAATTGCTAACACATTAAAATAAGAAATATTATTGTTTCTATATATGGGAGGTGTTCTTACACAAGATATTGGTCCCGTAGCTTCCTCAGCTGTATGAGGTCTGGTTTCAAGCTGTTCATCCTCTTGTCTATCTCTCGATTGTCTGTAGCTTGTCGCTTCAAGTCCAGTTCCAACTTCCTCTTGCTGTCATGAATCTCTGTCACTCTGGATTTCAGCTTCTCAGAGTTGCTCTGAATTCTGAATAGACAGTAAGAAAAAGTTTCCCACTTATATATAAGCCAAAACATGACTCGAATTCAAATTAACACCAAGGAATTACGAGCATCTGTATCATTATAGGACTCTGATGTGTAATGAAAAACAAGAGTACCTCTCAATCTCGTCGTTGCCTTCTCTGCGAAACTTCTCAATGCTTTCTCTGCTGAAGCGCTCCTGGGTCTCGCACTGCTCCTCAAAGATCTTGATGGTCTCATTAAAGGCCTCTATGGCAGTTCGTTTCATTTGGAGCTCCTGAGAGAGATCGTACAGAACATCTCTCTTAGGGACTCTGTTAATTAGATCCCAATGCATTTGAAGGAGAGATGAAATGCAGCCTACTTGTGATGTGCGTGTGTATTCTTCATACAGTACATCATATTCACGACTCTTCTCCTGATACTGCTCGTGATAAACCTTCAGCTGCTCTCCTACCGCCTCGATACTGTCCTCTTTCACTACCTGATCCTGCAGAGCACAAGGTGGTGTGTTCATAAGCATTATTCACCTCAAAATGAAAATTCATTATTTACTCATCCTCAAGTTGATTTGAGATAAGCAAAACTATATATTTTAAACTGACTATTGATATACACATGCATGGCGAAGTCGAGTTGAAGTCATTATTTTTGTTTTCTTTGTGCACAAAAATTATTCTCGTAGCTTCATAACATCACGGTTAAACAACCGAAGTCACATGGACTATTTTAACAATGTCTTTACTACCTTTCTGGGCCTTGAAAGTGTCAGTTGCGTTGCGGTCTATGCAGGGTCAGAAAGCTCTCGGATTTCATCAAAACATATCTTGATAGGTTTGGTACGACATGAGGGTGAGTAATTAATGACACAATTAACTATCCCTTTAAGACATTTTTTTAAAGTCTGTGCTTTTACTGTGCTTTTTGGACATTGAAAGACGGTAGGTATTTGTTGATGTTTACTCTGATTTGGTGACCTGGTTCATCCAGTTCACTAAAAAGAGCCAGTTCAAAGGAAAGATTTGTTCGTGAAGGCAATGAATTACAGGTAATTATGCTGTAATGTTTAGTTACACAGACTGAACATTTCACTTCGTAAGACCTCAATATATCATCAGGAGCCACAAGTATTAATCATGTGTTGCCTGAAATGTTTTTTTTTACTCTCAATTGGTAGCCGTTGACTTGCATTTATTAACTATCCATTTAAGGGGAATTTACATTAGACACATCATTGGGTTCAAAATCAGCTAGATGAAGGGAATGAGAATGGATGCAGAGGTCATTTGAGAGACATTTGGTGATTTTTACATTAAAGGTGCCATAGAATGGAAAACCTTTACCTTGGCATAGTTGAATAATAACAGTTCTGTACATGGAATTGACATACCGTGAGCCTCAAACACCATTGTTTCCTCCTTCTTATGTAAATCTCGTGCATGCAAAAGACCACTGAAAAATAGGCGAATCAGAACATAACACCGACTGTGACGTTACAGTCAGGATCACTAATATGTACACCCCCAACATTTGCATATACCCACCCATGTTCTATGCCAGCCGGACCTGCACAGTCAAATCATCAGAAGTTCTGCAGGTATTGTGAAGAAACAAGCGAGGATAATAGCGAAAATGGCAGATCATGGAAATAAATGTTATGTTACAGGCTGTGCAAGGGATGTGAAGTGCAGGGATGGGTTGGTGTCTGTATTCAGAAAGGCATGGAAAACAAATAACGCACGTTCTAATAAAATAACGCGAGCCACTAAAGGGACATGGTTAGCTGCTTGCTAGCGGTAGCCTGTTACATCACAGTACATAAGATTTCACTTACCACATAAACAGAGTAAGGAGAGATGACTGAGGATGATGGCGAATGATTTACAGATCCTGAGCACCACTGACAAGCATCTGATCTTGTAAAATGTGTGGTAAGTACTGCCGCTGTAGTTTACACAGTAAGTGCGATCACAAATCTCGAAAGCGAAAGTAAAACGCGATCGTGTATTCGAAAGCAGTTTCAATGCCCCGCATATAAATAGCGGCTGTGCACTGTGAAACAGCCAATCAGAGCAGAGCTCAACATTGAGCCGCACTGTGAAACAGCCAATCAGAGCAGAGCTCAACGTTGCGCTGCACTGTGAAACAGCCAATCAGGTTACAAATCCTAGGGTTGTAAATGGACATGTAAAACCGCTTCTGGAGATTTTTTATCCTTACCTAAGCCACATACCTTCTATGTAGATATCAGAGAACAATTTAAAATATTGTATCAATGCATTCTATGGCACCTTTAAAAGTCTGTGATCACTATTGTATGGAAAAGTTCCATGTGAAGATTTTTTTTTTAAAGGGGTCATATGATGCGATTTAAAATGTTCCTTTCTCTTTGGAGTGTTACAAGCGGTTCGTGAATAGATAAGATCCCTAAAGTTGCAAAGACTAAAGTCTCAAACCCAAAGAGATATTCTTTATAAAAGTTAAGACTGGTCCACGCCCTCCTAAAACGCCTCGTTCAAACACGCCCCCACATGTCTACGTCACGATGTGGGAAGATTTGCATAACGCCACCCAAATGTTCACGCAAAGAAAGAAGGCGTAACTTTATTGTTGCTGCCACCGCTATGTTTCTTAAGCCACATAAACACATTTCATTACACCAAATACACAAAATAATGTTCTTTTTAGCAACATCATATGACCCCTTTAAAATCGGTTAAATAAAGACAAATATTTCATTTTTTCATGAACTACCACTTCAGGGAAAAGACGCCATCAGTTTAAGCATTTTGAAGAGTGGAGACATCGCACCTGCTGATATTTAGACACGGGGAGGAGCAGGCGAGTGTCCAGCTTGGTGTTGTACTGGGCCAGTGACTCATGCCGGTAGTGGTTGATGAGCTCCACCACAGAGAGAAAAGTAAGAGGCTCTGAGAAGCCATACTTCCCCCCGCGGTGAAAAACCTTGATCAGTTTGTTATTGCCTCCTTTCCTGGAATAAACATAACAAGGCTTTGATCATGTCTTGTCTCCGTTAGAAATTCCTCTTGGTAATGGTGCATATCAAACGAATACACCAGCACACCTACGCAAAGTATCCATCTCATATTAGACATGACGAGAACCACTGTTTGGTCTGAGGAGGCGCTCACCTGAGGGTCAAGGTATACTCTCCCTGCACTTTGCTTGATGCATCCCGCACCAGGAACGTACCATCAGGAGTGTCTCTCATCTTCTCATTCACCTCCTCTCTAAAACCATGGGCATCAAACAGATTCATCATGTACAGAAATGCATGATTATCTTGATTACAGCCGTATAGGTAATTATGTCAGTGATTTACCTAGAAATGTCTCCCCAGTACCATTCAGCTTCACTCAGTAAGCTGTTGTTTCCATTGGTCACAGATGAGGCCATGGCTTTGGCTGGTTTAGGAGGGAGAGCTGGATAAACAAGGCAAATAAGATACAAATATTTACGATTCAAATAAATAAATTTTGATTTATTCCCACATGACTGGGGCCAACATTTGCTTTAACGACTTTCATACGTCGTCAACATGGAAACGTGCAAGGTTATATTACAGGCACAGTCTCTGGAGCCACCTGTCTTGCTCAAGGGCGTAATGGTGATCGCTCAGGGATCAGCCCTGCAACCTTTCGCTTACTAGCCTAGATATTAAACAACGACATGAGGTTTTCTCTTCTGTAGTAGAGTTTAAGTCTACACTACAGGGAAGATGAAGCTTTTTTGATAGAATTTTTTTTTACTGCAAATCCATACTGCAATTTTTTAAGGGGTCAAAAAAGGTTGTGTTATTGAAATACAACTTTTATGCTCAACAAGGCTGAGTTTATCATATTTATTAACAGTAACAGTATGAAATACTATTACAACCTAAAATAACAGTTTAATATATTTTAAAATGTGTTTACTGCATTTTCAGCATCATTACTCCAGTCTTCTGTGTCAGATCATCCTTCAGAAATAATTTGAATTTGCTGATTTGTTTCTCAAGAAACATTTAACATTTCTGTGCTTGTAACATTATATTTGGTCACTTTTGATTAACTTAGTGATGCATCCTTGCTGAATGAAAGTAAGTACTTAAAGTCTTACAAACCCCACAGGTTTCACTGATAGTATACACACATTTACATAAAATTTTAGAGCTGAATATTCTGGGTTTTTCCATCTTATGTCTATATAATGCATCAGCATGCTTGTTGCCGATTACCACAATAATTTAATACATTCCTTAGGGTAACAAATAGGCATGTTTACTGTAAATACACATAATTAAAGCAGGACGTACTGCAAAATAAATAAATGTTTAAAATATGCAGCTACATAAAGAAGGAAAAATGGAAATAAAATTGTTTACTGAAGTGTAACCGAAGCCGTTTCCTGACCACAGTTGCTTTTAACTTCGACAAACAATATTTACTGTGAAAAGCATTATACAAATTTATTTAATTGAAAATGTTTCTCTTTAGGATTACAGACGATACTAAAAGTGAGTGAAAAAAGATACATTGTCAACTTCGTAAATAATGAAGTAAATTTTCCAGATAATACCTTAATCATTAGCTTCGTCTTTGAAGCCAATTATTTAAAGGGATAGTTCACCCAAAAATGAAAATTCTGTCATTAATTACTCACCCTCATGTCGTTTCAAACCCGTAAGACCTTCGTTCATCTTCGGAACACAAATTAAGATATTTTTGATGGAATCTGAGAGCTGTCTGACCCTGCATAGACAGCAATTCGACTGAAATGTTCCCAAGTCCAGAGACGTAGCAAGGAGATCGGTAAAATAATCCATGTGACATCAGTGGTTCAACCGTAATTTTACAAAGCTACGAGAATACTTTGTGCGAAAAAAAAAAAAAAAAGAACGACTTTATTCAACAATTCGTCTCCTTCGCATCACCCTACCGCCATTTTGGAGAATATCCGCTGGACGTAAACAGCGTATGCTGTTCTGTGTCAGCTGCGTCACGCCGGATCGGGTTCCTACGTTGTTGTGATTTGATCTGAATGAAAACAGCGTAGGAAACGAATTGTTGAATAAAGTCGTAATTTTTTCTTTTGCACACAAAAAGTATTCTGGTAGCTTCGTAAAATTACAGTTGAACCCCTGATGTCACATGGATTATTTTACAGATCTCCTTACGTTTCTGGACTTGGGAACATTTCAGTTGAGTTGCTGTCTATGGGAGGGTCAGAGAGCTCTCAGATTCCATAAAAAATATCTTAATTTGTTCCATCAAAAATATCTTAATTTGTGTTCCGAAGATGAACGAAGGTCTTACGGGTTTGAAACGACATGAGGGTGAGTAATTAATGACAGAATTTTCATTTTTGGGTGAACTAACCCTTTAACTCCGGAAATACTTTATAGATGAAAACATAGCACTGCATTTCTATTTTAAGACAGGGGTCTCTCACAAAGGTACCAGATCATGTTTGCACCAAAAGGTTTGAAAACACATAATAAATCCCCCCTGACAAAAGTTTAATCTGTGAATAAAAAAAGCATAGCTATTATACACAATGGCAAAAATGACAGGTGACTCACCAGGAGGAGTCGGCTCTTGTTCCCAAATTCTCTCCAAAAGAAGTCTCTCAACTGCAACCGCAGGAAACCCCTCATCTTCCTCTGACCTGTAAATCAAACACATAGAAAAATTATGGTTTATTTTTCAGCAACGGATTTCCAGAATTAGTCTCCAGCCAATAGAAATACAAGAAAAGAAACCTCACGCTCACCCGCTCACAGGGCCCCTGATCAGCAGAGGGCCAAAGATTTGGCCGAGGGTGTGAATGTCGAGGCCGTTCTGCTCGGCGCGTTGACAGACCTTCTCCAGGTGTCTGAGCAAATAATGCAGCGTCAGGAGGTTCTGCAGTGGAACTTCAGGCTTCTCCAGCACCTGCAGCAGCTGCTCTCGTCTCCTCTCGGACGGGACGTCTATTCATGAGTTACATCAGCGTGAGCGCGTGGGTCATCAGGCATGGCAGACACTCGGAGCTGTTTGCTCGCTGAGTTCTGTTACTTTCTTTACACGGTGCTCTTTCGGCCTGCACGGATGAGTGAAAAGTGGCACATACCCGATTCCAGCTTCACTGCTGCCTGAAGGTCTGTATAAACAGAGGGAGGGATGATGGGGGCAGGAAGTTCCTGCAGGTACCGAATGAGAGCCTCCGAGAGGGCATGAATGTCCCACTGTCCCACGTCCAACTCCTGCAGCTCTGCACAGGGACAAATGACCGGGCTCATCATGATGCACGCTTTATAAATGACCAGTCACGGCAAGATACACATTAGATCTAATCCAATACATCCCTTTCAAACAGAGTTACAGAAATATGTTGGAACTTATGGGAACCAAATAGCAAAACCGGTAAACATCATCTAACCCTTAACAACCGTTTACTTTGTACCACTCCTAGTTATCACAATGTTTTTTTAAGGTATATACACAGTGAAAACCAAAAGTCTGAGACTTTGAGAATCTAATTTAAACCTGGAAGGAATGCTTTAAAA